CGAAAGAGATCAGGCGGTGAGGCGTGGTCATGCCACTCAACACTTCTAGTACGCTCTAGTCCGGTGGCTCTATTTTCCTTGAATCAAACAGAAACGAACAAGCAGCATTTATTGCGTCTCTTGATGCACGGAAGGTTCTTTATTTAGTGATGCTACATCGATTTCTAGTGAATGTTTGTAGGTGGTCCGTCTGATGTCATCGGGATGATTTTAAAAATGTCCTACTGCGGCGCATGTGTTCTTGCACGTTTACCCTTAATTTCTCGGTAAGTAGGGCACTCTTGTTGATAATATTGTCGTTTCAGATTGTTGTCATACATTCAGCTTTCACTCTGACGTAAATTATTATTTGACTTTAGTGCCCCTTTAATATATTGCGTTCATATGTCAAGGAATGTAGGATGGTAGTCCTAATGAAAGACGGTCGAACGAGCAAAGATAGTAACTATTCCGGGAAGGTAAGGAAGCTTCTAGGGAAACAAACAGTTTAATCTCTTTAAAAGCATCAGATCTCAGAAACTGAACTCTACTTGAGGTTTTTTATATAAAAAGTTTACGTATCAAGTTGTTTGCTTTTTTGTAGGTCAGGATAGCATATTCACTCGGTGTCCACTGAAATCTGATCGAGTAGCCTGCGGTTATAGCCTAGTGTTGTAGACACGCCAAGTGAAACATAACACGTGGCCTATCTGCTTTTTAAAGGGTCGTAGAATGTTTGTAACGCTCCTTTAGAGGTGGCGGAATATGAAGTGTCCGTTAATCTATTCGAGTAAAATAGGTGAATATCATGACGTTTTATTTATTCAACGCCGTGAAGCTCGAAACAACTTTGTGGTCGGTGCTGATTACTCAGTGATGGCTGAGTCAGTGACTGGCCCTGTCTGAGAAATTAACGCTAGACATACTTAACAAAAACACATGTACAATGCAGCCTGGTAAAAAAACAAAGTCTGATAGCTTTAGCAATCAAGGAACCTTTTTATTCCTTTTATTGAAACAAATTAAATACACAGTTAACATTTCTGTGAGAGAACTGCGATTTCTTAAGTACTGGTGAGGGGAAACAGAAAGAAGAATATGAAACCAATCGGGTTTACACTTCAATTACATATCTCAATTTTCATGTTTGGCTGCCCTATTAATATTTTGTTGTTTAGCGGCATTCTATTTGCTCTATATATTCTATGTTATTACATTGATGTCACAAAATTATCAAGCAATCATACTGCTTCCGATAGTGTTTTCACATAGCGTGGGGTTTCACATCCCGATATCATCATATGATTATGAGTTACGCCGTATACAAGGGAACACCAGAAATTTAGACCACCTGGAGTTCTTTAACGTGCACCTAAATGTAAGTACACAGGCCTCAATATTTTTCGCCTTTATAGAAAAGGCGGCCATATTTTTCAGTTTATTGCGAACTTGTTCACAGCGCAACAACAGAAACACAGGACAGGGAAGGAGACACCACCTTGTTCTGTGTTTTTGGTGTTGCTCTGTACACAAGATCACGATGAATTCCAACCAACTGGCCCAACTTATTGTCTTATCCCAGTTTAGTACTGCCGAGAGCCAGGCTATCACCCACTTTGTTTTATGCTGCGAATAAATGAAACATTGTCAATGTCTCTAGAAATGAAACACTACCGTGTGTAAACGAGAAACAAATGACTGCTCACTAGAGCAGAAAAGAGGCTCATGTCCTTATACTGAATAAACCATAAAAACTGAGGAGCAGATGGTCAAAACAAACTTAGATTCTACATTCTAGCTTGACCACCGCCCGCGAGTATACAGCATAGATCATGGGGTCGGCCTTACTTCTAGCAATGTTTCATGGAAGACTATATGTACGCTCCACGGTTCCAGAACACATCATCGTTTGGCTGGAGGAACGTAAGATACCAAAACTGAGACGCACATACATCGCTTACTGGGTGCCTAAGCTACAGAATTGTCCATCCAGTCTGACCAATGAGGGAACACCTAGCGTAGTTCATGAATGTGGGCACCAGTAACCAGTTATTGCGTTTGGTTACTTGAATACTGCACATATTATACTGCATATTAACGGCCTACAAAACACTTACGCTGGTACTTACGTTGTGAAATCTTCCATTGTTTTCTTGAAAATTCGCCACGTGGGCGTGAGCAAGTAGTGTAAATATGGAAACCGGTAGCCAAGCTTCTGTATGCACACAAAAGCTGTTTCTATGTCATCCAATATGGCGGCACCAGTCAGACTCTGGGTGAAGTGGGTTCTTCAAACAACACAATTCCACGTCGGCGGTGGTCGACGCTATACCTGCGTTGCGAGCGTTTATTATAAAGCTGTATAACTATATATTAGGTATATGTTCAAATTGGCAACCGAAGCTGTCACAGCAATCAATTTTCTAACTACGTAACCTTTGAGGTTTCTTCCGCCGTTTTTCAAGATAGCTGTGATGAAAAGCTCAGTGTAGTGCACGATGAAACCTGGCGCTTTCTTCTTCAATACCAACAAAATGTTTTACACAACAGCTTTAGCACGATAGATAGACCTATAATAATAGGCAGCAACCAAATTAAAGAGGTCAGGATAACATATTCACTCGGTGTCCACTGAAATCTGATCGAGTGGCCTGCGGTTATAGCCTAGTGTTGTAGACACGCCAAGTGGAACATAACACGTGGCCTATCTGCTTTTGAAAGGGTCGTAGAATGTTTGTAACGCTCCTTTAGAGGTGGCGGAATAAGCCCAGCACTTTAGGTGAGCAAGCAATTGAGGCTCAACTAGAGGAAGCAACAAAAAAAATGAAAGGCGTAGAGCTCAAGTAGAACACATCTATTTTTGCTACCCTACAGTAGAGAAAGGGGAAAGAGAAAATAAATGAAGAGTAAGAAAAAAGAGTAGAACGGGAGTCCTTTATTCTATATTCATTAGACTATTGCTGCGCAAGACGTTTAGTAAATTGTTGAGCAATAACTTTCAGAGGACAGTTCTGGTCAACATTCCGATGATTGATATGTGGGGTTTAACGTCCCAAACCGACCATATAAATAATACAGACGTCGTAGGAGAAGACTCCGGAATTTTCGACCACCCGGGGTTCTTTAAAGTGCCCCCAAATCTGAGCACATGGGCATACAACATTTCCGCCTCCGTCGGAAATGCAGCCACCGAAGCCTGGATTTGAACCCGCGACCCGCGGGTCAGCAGCCAAGTACCTTAGCTACTACACGACCTTGGCGGGGCTGGTCAACATTCTAGAATTACTGCTTCGGTAGGGTCTCTTGTGAAGGCAGAATGTAGAGCCTCCGCCAGCAGTCCATGTACGCCATAAAATTGACAGTGGTAAAACATTTTCTATAGTTTGACGCACCGTGAATGCAAGCATTCATTAAAGTGTACCTCGTTATTATGCTCCAGCAACCAGTGACAATTAACAGAATCATCGTAAATGAAAGGGATCGCTGATGTTTGTTCCACGTGGTAGCATCCTCTCGTAATTTACTTTTTGAAGCATGCAAACACACGAAAAAGAAGACTGCTTCAAAGGGGTCCGGTAATGACGGACTCGCTTTAGCTTATCGTGACTCTTTAAGAATAACAGGCCTTCTTGTAGACAAAGATGTGAAAAGATAAATGATAGTTGAACTATGCATTTGTCTTTCGACAACGAAACTGGGATTTTTTTTTTCAAATATGAAACTAAAGTCTTCAAACACCACATTGATCAAAAATACGTCACGCTGCACAAAAGAGGAGCCGAACGAAGATATCAATATAATACGCCTGAGAAACTATAAGAGATTGGTAGAGCGTACATCATGGAGGAATTTGTCCAAAGCAGCAGTCACTTATGCAGTATCCTGTTGAAGTATAGCAGCCAACTATCGTGTACCACTCTCGTTAAAATTACTGGTCTCATCGCACAACTTTATTTGACAGAAAGGGTTAACAGCCACCATGGCCTTATTCGAAAACAAAAGCCTGTCATATTTGTACTTTACCCCGGTGAGGAAATACAGAAAAGTAAGCAGATACAATTTATTCATAGGCTGAAAAGAGGCATGGAATAATCTATGAGCTGTGCTATGCAGGATGACGAACCGTTAGATAACACTGAGCGCGATAACAGAGCGCCAGATTGAGCATAAATGAAAATATCTGCTACTTGACCTGTTGCAAAAGTAATTATGCACTAGAACATTCCGAGAGCGGCAACTTAGTTTGTGGGAACACGACTTAACACTTTTGTGGTCAAAATTCTGGAGCCCTCCACTACAGCGTCTCTCATATTCATAGGGTGGTTTTCGGACATTGAAACACCGCACATCAATCAATCAAATCAATGGGCAACACGATTTTATCAGGTGTGCTCAACATTTTCTTTACCAGAATATTACACTCCATGGTGCAATCACAATAGGGTTAGCACATCCGTCTCGCAGTGTCAATATCGGCTCAATTCGGTATTCTTAGGTAACAGTGTTTCTCGCAAAAAATTATACCATAATGGGTCATCTTCTTCTAGTTTATGTTGTTGGTTTCTGTTGTGCAGTGAGTAAATGAAATTAACATTGGTGGAGGTAAATAATAGAGATAAGTCTGTCTTGATTAATAGATTACCTGTCTGTACCATTCCGATTCCTCCCCCCCCCCTTACCCAATGCCCTGTTCTGGGGCCTGTAAGGTTTTTTTAATAAAGAATAAAGAATAAAGAAGTGGAAATAAATGTTTTACCAGACCTATTTTTTTAGTGGCAAAGCAACCTTGACGAATAGTTGGTAGTGAAATCACGATGACTATTTCCCAGCAGAAACACAGTCTTCCTGTTTCTGATCAGCAGTTTTATTCAGTGTCCCACCGGAAACGGCAAGGAAGATGTTTCTCTAGGGTATCAATAGAACAATTTATCGGCAGCAATCCCCATATCCGAAACAAACAAAAAATGTCCGGAATACGTTAGCTGAGTGAAGAACACGGTTTTTTATCAATTCTTACAAGCCCTAGGATGCCTCGCCACAGCTGTATAGTGGCGATAAGGTACTCGGCTGCTGCCCGCAGGTAGCGGGAGCGAATCCCGCCGGGGGCAGCTAAGTTTTTGGTGGAGGCAAAAATGCTGTAGGCCCATGTGCTTAGATTTGCGTGCACGTTAAAGAAGCCCAGGTGGTCGAAAGTTCCGGAGCCCTCCACAACGGCGTCTCTCATAACCATATAATGGTTTTGGGACGTTCAGCCCCACATATTTGTCATAATTATCATCAGCCTGACTACATCCACTGCAGGACAAAGGCCTCTCCCATGCTCTGCCAGTCAACTCGGTTCTGTGCTTGCTGCTGCCAATTTATACACGCAAACTTCTTAATCTCATCTGCCCACCCAACAGTCTGCCTTCCCCTAACCCACTTGCTTTCCCTAGATATACAGTTAGTTACCCTTAATGACCAGCGGTTATCCTGTCTACGTGCTACATGCCCAGCTCATGTCCATTTTCTCGTCTTGATTGCAACTATGATATCCTCATGCCCAGTTTGTTCCTTAATCCACTCTGCTCTCTTCTTGTCTCTTAAGGTTACACCTAACATTTTCCTTTCCGTTGCTCGCTTCCTCGTCGTCAATTTAAGCTAAACCCTCTTTGTAAGTATCCATGTTTCTGCTCCGTAGCTAAGTACCGGCAAGATGCAGCTGTTCTATACCTTCCCCTTGAGGGATAGTGGCAATCTATTCCTCATGAGGATCGACTGCCAAACACAAGCACCTGGTTTATTGAAAGCTCAAACCAGCAAAAAGACCTGTAAAGTCGGTGATGCAATCTGATTTACTGCAAAATTGGTTAGCAGACTCTTCTAAATCACTTACTTCGGTAATGTGAGAAGTTGTAAGTACTACCTGTAATTGGACATCATATTGTTTTGGGCTAGAGAGAAACGCCGTGAAATCGAGTTCAATCCGAAGTGGAGATGTAAAATGCTAAATCATTAGAAAGTAAAAAGGTGGTGCCAATGATATGTACAAGAACCATGACTTCATTATCACCGCCAACCTAAGTGGTGAAAATTAGAGAATTAATATATTTCAATAAGAATTTATATGCGCTGGGCAACGTCAAAAGCGCAGTACTGGTAGGGTTGCGTTCATGCGTTCATTTATTTTTTGCACGAATTCAATCACGGCGTGCTCTATTCTAATGCGTCGATTACAGTGAGGTAAACAGTGTTTCCATCAAGCATATTTCATTTTCTATACAAAAAGCTACCATCCCATTCGCGGATAGATGCTCTCATGAACTTACTTTCCAGGGCCCATCGACGGAAGATGTAGAAGCAGTCTTTTACACAGCCGTTTGCATCCACGACCTCGTCAAGGAGACTGAGAGCTTCATCAGATATTCTGTGCATGATTGGAAGGTAAGAATTGGCTGCTCGAACTTTCAGCATGTGAGGCTGCATTCTCGACCGGGCACTTAGCCATTCTTTTCCTTGGCTGCATACAGAAAGACACGAAAAAGAAAAAACAAAATGGCGGAGCTTGCACTTGGCCCGCGCAAGACTTCAAAGAGCGAAACTGTACAATCTGAAAGACTTATATGCTTGCTGCAAGGCAGTTGCTAGACCTTAGGCATGAGATTCCGGATAAGTACTAGGTTACTTCTAGGCAGCTGCTAGGCTTTGTTTAGGTGATGTTACCCTAATTTTACATTGGCTCTCAGTGCAGAGCGGTTCGAGTAAACACGAACAGTCAAAGACGCGACTCTCGCACGACGTCGTTAGAGTAGGCCTTCCTTCTCTTCGCAATCTTCGCGTAGCCATTATTGCTCTTCTGTTCCCTTGTTCTGTCTAATCGTACGTACACGGCTTGCTGTTATCGCTTCGCAGCAATTTCTTGGGCTAACTGTGGCCATCTTCATTTTCATTCTACCAGTGGTTAGTAATGCCATTTTCCCGATCGTTGTGAGAGAAACCCGTTATGATTATGATAGTTTGTTGATAAGAGCACAATTGAACATACTTGTTTTGTTACGACAGTATTGTTATTCATTTAAAAGGAACCAATAGTGAAATGGGTTTTATCTACCTTCTGAGGCATGCGTAGTCCTCATGATTACTATAGTTTTATGATGCACCGTGGCATGTAGGCCGCACATGAACTAAGGCTAACTTACATAGCTATGCTGTTAGCATAAGAAAGAGACAATGAACTCGTAGAAGAAACGTACACATTTTGACTCATCGGCTCGTAACTAGTGAAGAGTCCAAGCAAAGAGAAAAAATTGGCCCGAATCTACATGTTGCACTGTAAATGTTGTCGAAAGACGGTAGTCTTGCGTCTCGAAAGAGTGAACAAAACGTTGATTTGATGTTCTGCGCAAGAAAATCGGTGAATGGTATTCTGCAGGCGCTGCGTTAGATTGCCTCGAGCGTGTGGCGGAGGCGAACGAGCGCATCTAGGCACGTTAGACACAAGTGCCATCTGGCAGTTATCTTCTAAAACGAAGGCGTACAGCCCGCGGAGAAAGATGCGCGCCAGTCTCGGAGGTGATAAGGTGTAGAACGCAAAGCGACGGGCAGGTGCTACCACCGTGGCGCCGTAGCAAAGCGTTGGATACCCCTTTTTGAGCATCGCGTTGCACTGTCAGCGCAGCGCGATTAAATGATACATTCCTTAGAGTTACTTGTATTAGCCTCTTCTAGTATAAAGGCAGACATAGAAAACATCGAAGCGTTGTTGTGGCGCCTCAGATATGCGCAATAATTGCTTTTTCATTGACAATCGCACAACTATGAACGCCTAAACCTTGACAAATATTGGTGGGCGCTGTGGATGGCGTTGGCCATTTGGTACCGTTCGAGGTATTGTTAGGGTGGACAAACAGACAAATGTACAGACAGACAGACAGACAGACAGACAGACAGACAGACAGACAGACAGACAGACAGACAGACCAACATTTTTCCGTCGAAGGTCCTATCGTCTTTAATAAACGCTTCTGACGTCGTTGTCAGATTGATAAGGAAGCCAACACCGTATTCGGAGACACTATTCACAAATAACAATATCAGTGCTTCATGAAAGGTATGAATACATCAGCGCAAATTTAGGTTTATAGAGGCCCCGCCTTGGTGGTCTTGTGGTTAAGTCGCTAGACTGCTAATTTGAACGTCGCGGGGCCGAATTCCGGCCGCGGTGGCTGCATTTTCGATGGAAGCGAAAATTCTATAGGTTCAAGTGCTCAGATTTAGGTGCACGTTAAAGAACACCGTGATAGTTGAAGTTTTTCGAGCCCTCCAATGGGCGTCTCTCGTAGTCAAGTCGTGTTTTTGGGACCTTAAACCCCAGATAATACTGTTACGTAAAAAATAACAGTAGACAGTCTACAGCCTCAACGCAGCTCACAGACAACGTCCACTTCTTCACTCTCAGTCTGAGGTACCTTTCTTGGGTATGTCCCACTATGCCCTGTTTCAGTCAGCCAAAATCTGTAACAGGACCCCCGGCGGCAAAAGCGCCGACCCGGCAAGTTTACGGGGCCACAGCAGGAGCAGTGTGGTAACGCTTGAGCCTTGATACGTGGACGATTTCCCTTGACAGCAGAGCAGAAGAGATAGATAGATTAGATAGATTTGTGGGGTTTAATGTCCCAAAACTACCGCAGAGCAGAAGAGGTTGATGGATTGTGCGGGACAATTTCATATGTAGTGTTGGTCACTCGTCTAAGCACGCGGTATGGGCCCGTGAAACGAGAGAGAAGTTTTTTTTGAAAGGCCTGTATGTCGCGTAGGGGACCAAAGAAGAACGAGGGAACCTGTTGAAAAGTGTTCGTCCCGATGCCACTCGTCGTAACGCTGCTTCTGCGAGTCTTGGGAAGCCATTAATCTGCTGCGGGCAAGCTGACGAGCATGGCCAGCTCGGGTAATAGCGTCGCGTGCATATTCAAAAGTAGACTGCGCAGCGGCTGGCAGGAAGGCATTCAATGGCAATGTTGGTTCGCGTCCAAACAGAAGGCAAAATGGCGAGTACGCAGTAGTGTCATGCCGGGAGGAATTGTATGCGAACGTCACGTAGGGTAGTGCAAGGTCCCAATCACGATGGTCAGCCGAGACGTATTTCGATAGCATGTCTGTCAGGGTGCGGTTTAGACGTTCTGTAAGCACGTTTGTCGGGGATGGTACGATGTCGTGAGCTTATGTTGGGCAGAGCAGGAACGCAGGATATCGTCAACTACTTTCGAAAGGAACGTACGGCCTCGGTCTGTCAGCAGTTGACGAGGGGCTCCATGCACTAAAATGAGATCGCAGAGTAGAAAATCAGGGACGTCTGTAGCGCAGCTTGTTGGCATGGCACGCGTAACTGCGTAACGGGTCGCGTAATCCGTAGCCACCGTGACCCACTTGTTTCCGGAGGTGGATGTTGGGAAGGGATCGAGAAGGTCCAAACCAACATGGAAGAATGGCTCCGATGGAATGTCGATCCATGGGCTGAACATATACGGAAGGGAGTCCCGACGGCTTTTTGCGACGCTGGCAAATTTCACAAGCGTTGACGAAGCGACGTACAGAGCATGAAAGGCCAGGCCAGAAGAAGCCGCGGCACACACGGTCATATGTGCGAGAGACACCAAGGTGACCGGCGGTTGGCGCGTCATAGAGCTCGCGTAGGACTGTGGAGCGCAGGTGCTTTGGTGTAGCCAGAAGTAGGTCGTGACCATTGGGCGATAAATTACGCCGATATAAGGTGTGGTCCTTTAAGGTAAACATGCGAACAGAAGCGTCTTGCGGTGAAGATTCGAGCTGTTGTATTAGGTGGCTGATATCCAGATCGCGACGCTGTTCGTCCCCGAGAGGAAGCAGCTGGGAGATGGAAAGGACACAACCCACAAAATCAGTGCTCGTAGGATCGATGTCGGCCACAGGGTAGCGTGACAGACAATTTGAGGCGGTGGCGACGACGGGACAGGGTGGCCGTAGTCCTCAGGGGCAGTAAATGCTGTAGACTCAGTGCGGGTCGGATAACGGTGGTTTGGTGGACGGAATGAGACAATCCACATCTTTGTGCAGTTTTCCTGATTTATACACTACGGTGTAAGAATATTCCTGGAGGCGGAGTGCCCTGCGGGCGAGACGACCTGTGGGATCTTTGAGGGAGGCAAGCCAGCAAGGAGCATGGTGGTCGGTGCGAACTATAAATGGTCGGCCGTATAAGTAAGGGCGAAATTTCGCGACTGCCCACACCAGCGCTAGGCATTCGCACTCTGTGATGGAATAATTACGCTCCGAGGGGGACAGCAGCCTGCTGGCATAAGCTATCACGCAATGCTGTCCACGGTGTCGCTGAGCCAACACAGCGCCTATTCCGTAACCGCTGGCATTGGTGCGGACATCAGTCGGTGCCGTAGGGTCGAAGTGAGCCAGCACAGGAGAAGAAGTGAGCAAAGTGGTCAGGTCGGAGAATGCTGCTGCTTGCGAGGAACCCCAGGTAAACGTCTCTTCTGGTTTGAGTAAATCTGTTAGGGGCCGAGCGATTTCCGCGAAGTTCTTGATGAACCGCCGAAAATAGGAGCAGAGCCCCACAAAGCTCGGACATCTTTGGTTGTTTTTGGCACAGGAAAGTCCTTCACAGCTCGAACTTTTTCTGGGTCAGGCTGTATGCCGTAAGCGTCAACAATATGTCCAAGTATTGTAAGGCGACGGCGACCAAACCGACACTTGAATTCAGCTGAAGGCCGGCGAGACGGAATACATCAAGAATTTTCGACAGTCTCTCAAGGTGCGCTTCAAAAGTGGGAGCAAACATGATCACGTCATCCAGATAACAAAGACACGTAGACAACTTGAATCCATGGAGCAGGGAGTCCATCATTCGTTCAAAGGTGGCGGGGGCATTACATAGGCCGAAAGGCATGACTTTGAATTGGTAGAGGCCATCGGGTGTTACCAAAGCCGTCTTCTCTCGGTCCATGGGGTCCACGGCAATCTGCCAATAACCAGAACGAAGATCGATGGAAGAAAAGTAGGCGGCACCATGGAGGCAATCAAGGGCGTCGTCAATGCGGGGCAGAGGGTATGCGTCTTTCTTGGTGATGTTGTTAATGTGGCGATAGTCCACACAAAATCGCCACGATCCGTCCTTCTTATTAACTGATACCACCGGGGATGCCCAGGGACCGGAGGATGGTTCAATAATGTCCTTCGCTAGCATCTTGTTCACCTCCTTCTGAATTATGCTCCGCTCAAAAGCAGACACTCTGTAGGGACGGTGGTGAACAGGGTTGGCATCACCTGTGTCTATGCGATGCTGGACAATGGACGTCTGCCCTAGAGGTCAGTCGCCAAATTCAGAAATATCCTGGTAAGCCACGAGAAGATGTTGTAGGGCTTCAACGTGTGGAGGCGGAAGATCAGTGTCAATCATGTCTACAATTTGATGGCTGCGCAAATGTGTTGCGAGGGATGTGCGCTGCGGTAAAAAAAGGGTGTCTAAGGCAA